CGTTTTAATGTTAGCCTACTACTTAATTGGTATAACTTTTAATCTTCTTAACTTTATGCTAACTTTCTCAATAGTTAGATCATATTGCCTTTTCATTTTCTTTGTGAATTTTATCTTATTTTATTTTTTAATTACAACCTTTCCACTTTTCAGCTTAAGTGTACAAAAAATGAAAAGAATATTTTAGAATAAATATTAATTACCCAATGCCTTTTTAAATTAAAAAAACAGCAAGCATTAGAGAAAGTAGAGATTTAAATGATGATGTCTTATATTCTTAGAGCTGAAAAGGGAGGAATCAAGTTGTCATGTGAAATGGTTGGAAAACATACTTGAATAGGATCAATGATCATGAAGTCGAGTAACTTGAAGTACTTTTTCAATTTTCGATAATTTTATCCTTTTCTAATTCTTCCTTTTTTTACATGTCGATTTTTTATTTACGTTGTAATATTAAATACGTATATGCATTGCTTAAATCAAAATAACTAGGGAAAGAGGACAAATATATCTCCGAACTATCGTAAATGATATGCATATATCCTCCGTCATACTTTTGGGACATGTGCCCCTGTCCAAAAACTAGAGCATATATGCCCTTCACTCTAACGAAAGACTAAATAGGGACACGTGACACAATCTTATCTGTTGATCAGATATTTAATAAATGTCAGGTCGGTGGATAAGATTATGACACGTGTATGTCCGTTAGTATAAAGGGTATATATGCTCTAGTTTTTGGACGACAGGGGCACCAATATCCCAAAAGTATGATGAAGGATATATGCATATCATTTACTATAGTTCAGAGGTATATTTATCCGTTTTCTCAAATAACTAAGAAGCGTTCCATATCTCAAATGTCCCTGTTTATTAAGGAACTTCTCTATTGATAAAATTAAGTGTTCATCTTTGTATTTTTTTTCTTAAAGTTTTAGTTATCCTAATAATACGAGTAATTTTAATTTTAGTAATTTTTAATTGTACATCCAAATTTGTAGTTTGTTTTCCTTCACTGCATCTCTTTACATATTACTATGTGACATACACGCAGAGTGTTGAACACGAAATTATAAAGGATAAGTCGCACATATATGGTATTGATGTATTCATAGTATTTGAGGCTATATTATCTTAGTAATTAGCTACACATATTTTTCTTTAATGAGAAATGCACAGGTCTACTGTTAGCATTTTCTATTTTATAACTCAACTTTTTCTTAGAAGCTTTTATAATAATGACACAGGGACAAACGTGCAACACACGTTCTCAGAAACTAGTATTATATTAAAAGTGGGAAGGTCCTAAGTCTAAAGTTGAATTACCATTTTACTCCTACACTATATAAAAATATTATAAAATATGTAATTAATAAAATATTAATTCGTTAAAAGTTGAGTCATCATTTTAATATTATAAAAATAAATTCTTGTCATTAATCTAACTACATTTAATTAAAAGAAATCTTTCATCTCCCTATTGAGCTAAAATACAGATTATTTGAACACAATTTACAACTCAACTATTTCATATCTCACATTTACTATTTCTTCCTTTTAGCTTGCGGCAGTTATGTGAACTTTTTATGTTCCTTGTCAAATAAAAGTAATATATAGTGCAAGTGCAGTGATTTTCTTCACTCCAAGTCACTTCAATCTTTCAATCTTAAGCTTAATATCAAAGCATTGTATTATTTTCTTTTTTTTTTATGTTAAAAACTCCATTGCTAATATACCTATAGCATGTTTGAATATATAAATATATAAGGAAAAGATATACTCCTATGTTTAAATCCTGTTTGCATGAAGTGTTGACGGTAAAAGTTCAAACTTTACTGTTGGTTGTATAAAAGGAATTAAGTTTATATATGAAAATCTTCATGTCATTACATGTATGCTTTCGTAGAATTTTAATTACATAGATCTATAAAAATTCACATGAAATACACGTGTAACACCCGTTCTCAAAAACTAGTACATATATATATATATACACACACACGTGCGTTGCACGTGATTATCAATTCAGAAAATTTAAGCAAAGATTTCAATAATAAATTTTGCACAAAATAATATTGCAGATTCTTTTGTGAATGTTCAATGTGGATCATCATATATATATCTTATTCACGCGAACCTATGAAGATGATCAATGAAAAAATTTATTAGTTAAATGCAATAATGTGTATATTTATTTCAATTTGATGAGGTTCAATCATGTAATTAGTCGTATCTCACTAATATTACCTTATAGACGATATTTGTTGTGTAATTTTCTTGTCATCTAACCAGATGTGTTTTCCACATGTACTCCACGGTAATTTGTTTAGATGTCATATGAACATATGAAGAAAAACTACATTTTATATTTTAGAACTATTTTTGTATATTAATTTTTATTTTATAAGTTATAACATAATAAATGACGTTCTTGTTGTTGGCTCTGATATTTGACTTCTTGATTGACTATGTACATAAATCCAAGATAGTTATCTGACTGTCCATAGTTAACTCAGAAATGTTTCCTTTTTATTTACCGGAGAAACTAAACATTAAAATTAAAGAATATATTTTATATGTGGAATCATATATATAATCACCTATTTATCTTACACCCAACAAAGATATAGTTCATATATTTGTAAACGATTTTCAAGTCATTCAACCAAGCATGATTCGTCCAAAGAAAAATAACAACACCGTGTTATCACATACATAGGGGCAGTATAATAATACGAAAAATTATTGATAAAAAGTTAATATAAAGAAAGATGAAAGATAGAAATAATTAATGTCATAACTATGAGAATTCATAATATTATAACTAAAAAATGTAAAAGAGTGTGAATAATATTTGCAATAATTAGTAATAACTAAGAGAATATATAATGTTATAACTAAAGAATTAATGTGCAATAGATGAATTTCTAATAAATGTTATACTACATAAATAAATAGGACTTTTAATTAATGTTACTATATTTTTTTATAGTTATTAGATTTTAATTTAGTGTAGGGACAAAATGAAAATGTTTATTCCATATTACAAAATATAAAGTTTATTTTGTTAATATTAAATTTTAAATGATTCATATATGTTCACATATTTTCACATTTGTTGTGAGTTTTTTTTTTTTTAAAAAAGAACTCGGAACAATTTAAAATAATATATTTTGAAGTTAGAAGATCTTGTTAACTTGATAATATATTCGTAACATATATAAATACCTACCCGTATATATATAATAAAAATTAAACTAATACAAACTTCAATATGAACTTTTCTTCGTTGAAAATAGTGAAATATTAAGAAATAGTAAAATCAGTAGAACAAAAGGTCAATGTTTATATACTAAAATAACTATTTTGATGCAAATTTCCTAACAATCTAAAGCACATAAGAAGCATTGATAAATAAAGTCATTCTTTTGTCTTGAGCATCAAAAAATAAATCGTGACAATTCTCTAACTCTTGAAAAGTTTAATAATTTTGGAAAAAGATATTCAGAAGCATATATCTACATCACAAGAGAAATTCTTAACAAAAATAAATCATCATGTTAACTTCATATATTGGAACATTACATACTAATGTATATACTAAGCAAAAAACAATTATTGTATCATCAAAATTATTTTCCTTAGGTACTCGAGGTTAAAAAATATACCCTCTTAGGATAGAACAACTTACTCAATTAGAATAGTGGTACCTCCTATTCCGCTGAACTTCGAACTTACTCAACTACAATAAATCACAAGAATTTTTTTAAAATACAAGAAGAGGAAGAGTAGAAGATAAAAAAAATATTGTGGTTGAAAAATGAAAGAAACCCCTTTATTTATAGTCAACAAAGGGTAGGATGAACAACTGTTTTTTGTGTCTTATTTGAAAAGTCATGACCGTTTCAAGAAGTCACAGCCATTTGAAAAAGTCACAACTTATTGAAAACGTCACAACTCTTTGGAAAAGTCACAACTCTTTAGAAAAGTTACAACTCATCTAAAAATCACAACCCTTTGAAAAGAGTTGCAACTTATCAGAAGAGTCACAACTCATCGGAAAAGTCACAACCTAAGTTAAGGATATTATAATAATTTAACATTCAAGTTAGGAGTTCATGCTTTTAATTAAGGTAATATAATATATATATATATATATATATAATGATGCATCTGAAATGTGACCAATTTGAATGTCATCCTTGTTAGTTTTAAAAATTCAGTTTAGTAAATTAGCGTTCTGTTAGAAAATAAAATGCCTATATGTTATGTTTGTCCTAGTCTTTAGGAAGTAATTTAAACCTGGGCAGCTTTCTAGTTTTAGGATTATAGTTCCTAATTTTTAGCTTCAAGTTGTTTAGCATATAAAGAATTTTATTGGCAGCTCTTTAGTTATTCAGTAAAAAAAACAACTCCATCAATATCGTCTTTCAACTTACATATATATATTTCTAGATTACGTTTTTTCTATCAGTGGTATCAGAGCCAAGTTAGATTATAAAAAGAAAAAGAAGAAAAACAGAGAAATATACAGTAAGTTAATGGCTTCAGAGAGCAATTACGTACAAGAAACTATTCCACGTTTTGATGGTCATTATGACCATTGGAGCATGCTAATGGAAAAAAAATTAAGGTCAAAGGAGTATTGGCCAATTGTGGAGGTTGGTATCAGTTCTCCGGCGGAAGGCGATACCTTGACGAATGCTCAAACAACAAAGTTTGAAGCAAGAAAGCTGAAAGATTTGAAGGCAAAAAATTACCTTTTTTCAGTCTATTGAACGTCCTATCTTAGAAACTATTCTTTGCAAAGAAACTTCGAAAGATATATGTGACTCCATGAAAAGAAATATCAAGGCACTGTTAGAGTGAAGCGCGCACTACTTCAAGCCTTAAGAATGGATTTTGAGACCTTGCAGATGAAGGAAGGAAAGTCTATAATGAGTTACTAGTACGCTAGAACAATGGAGATTAGCAACAAAATGTGATTCCCTGGCGAGAAGATGAACGATATCACAATTGTTGAAAAGATATTACGCTCTTTGACGCCGAAGTATGATTATGTCGTTTCCTCCATTGAGGAGTCAATAGATATAGATGAGTTATCTCTTGACGAATTGCAAAGTTCCTTATTGGTGCACGAGCAAAAGATGAATCGAAATTCAACTTTTGATGAGCAAGCCTTGAAGGAGTCTACTTTTATTTCTTCCAATTGTAGAGGAAGGGGTAGAGGTATAGGTAGAGGGAGAGGAGATCGAGGAAATAGAGATGGAGGCAACAAATATGGCAATGGAAATTTTAGAGCCAATGATGACTATGACAAAGGTAGAGGGAGAGCTTTTGACAAATCCAAGATAGAATGTTATCATTGCCATAAAATTGGTCATTATCATTCTAAATTTCGTACAAGGCTGCCTAATGAGAAGGAAGAAAAGTCAAATTTTGTTGAGAATAAGGAAGGAAACCTTGTTAATGGCGGTTCATGCTGAAAACGAGCCTGAAGAGCAAACTATTTGGTATGTGGATACTGGTTGCAGTAACCACATGACTGGTAGTAAGTCTTCTTTTACTGATATAAATGAAAACTTCCGATCGACAGCTAGTTTTGGTGATCTTTCAACAGTGAATATGATGGGAAAGGTTAATATCAAGATTAGAACAAAAAATAGGTGTGTGGAAATCATATCTAATGTATTCTATGTTCCTGCTTTGTGATATACCGTGAGTTTACGGTATTTCTAATACATTTCATTTACAAGTTGTGTGTGTCTAGGCCCTTTTTGTATTGGTTTTTATGTGTTTTTATCATATTTTGCAAGAAACATGTTTAGGCGAGGAATTAAAGAGACAACTGAAAGAAATGCAGAAAAGGGAATCTATGAAGGTTATCTACGGACCGTAGGTCCATTGACGCTCCGTAGATGGTGGTCGTAGATCAGAAGCCAAGGCATGGAAGACAAATCAAGGAAATCTGACTAACTGTGGAACCACGATGACCATTGACGGTCCGTAGATTGATCTACGGACCGTATTGTTGATTCATAGATTTAGACTGCGAGGGTTCCAGTACCTGATTTTTGAAGATTCTAAGTGTGGAGCTACGGAAGGGGATTGACGGACTATAGATTGATCTACAGTCCGTCCTGTAGTTCTGTCGTTTGCTTCAGAGAAGCTGATTTTTGGAAGTTGATATATTTTCTAAGTCATGGCTAACGGAAGGGACTCACGGACCGTAGATCCATTGACGGTCCGTGAGTCAGTCTCGTGGAATGAAGATGCGTGCCTGTAACAAACTTTCTTTATTTTTTTCCCTTTTAATTTAGGACTTGTTTTCTATAAATAGGGCATGTAAACCTCGTTTTTGGGGGTTAGAGATTATTACTTTAGTTCTATTTTGTGACTTGGGAGATGATTCTTGCAAAGCTAGAAATTATTAATTTCCTAAGTTCGTTTTAAAGATTTTGGTGTTGCAATTCAAGTTGAAATTATGGGTTTATTATTCTTCTTACGTAAGTTCATAATTCTTTCATCTAAAACAATAAATTGTGTTCATATGATTATGGGTAACTATACCCCGCAACTAGGGTTGTGGAAACCATGAGCGATTAACAAAGTATGAATAGTAAATAAGCAATTCTTGAATAGTGTTGTTGCATGCATTGATAATTCTTTCGTTTAGAAGTCTTTTTAACGAGTGCACGTGTTAGAACTCACCTTGTTGCTACTTGCCGGACCAAGGAGGTAATCAACAAGAAAAGAATTATCAACATAGATTTAGTGTGATACTATCTAATAAGCTAGTATCGATTGGTGCAAAGTAATAACCAAGCCAAACATCGATTATGATGTCTAATATGAGGTAAAAGTAAGGGTTAGTAAATTATACACACGTAGCCGGACCAAGGTGCGAGGTGAAATTCTCTAGATGCCGGACCAAGGATTTAGAGATACCTAACTTATCACTTTGCATGTAGTACACTAGGAAAATATTGTTATTACTAGGATTACTGCGTTATGAGCTTGTGGAGAACACGTATACCCTAGTTATTTCTCTCATCTTGATAACAACCAAACTTGAGTTTTGATTACTGATTACTTATTAAATTCTTACAATTTGTTTCACAAAAAACCCCCTTTTTATTACTTGTTTCTAGAAGTAATTTGCCTAATCGAATATAGTTGTTGGTTAAATTAAAGTCTAAACCATTTTCCTCGTGGGATCGACCCCAATCTACAAGTTGGGTTCTTTATTTGATAACGACCGCTTATGCTTCTTTAGAGAGGTGTAATTTGAGCGTATCAAATTTTGGCGCCGCTGCCAGGGAAATTTGACTTTTAGATTTATTTTAACTACATTATTGAACGTTAGTCAAATATTTCCTAATTTTACTTTTTCTTTTGTTTTTGTCTCTCTCAGATTCTGACTCTAGTGTATGCTAAGTACACGGAGCCAAGGCGAACCACTTACTCCATATGATCCAGAGTTGAATAGAACTTTGCGAAGAATGAACAATCAAGGAATTCCAGTTAATCCTATCGGAGTAAATCTTGGTGATGCAGTTGAGTTACAACAGCCAAGAGTAGCTGGTGGGGAAAATCGGGGTCTAGCTGAAAATCAATTGGGAGATACAATGAGGGTGCATGGTCCACCAGGCCTACAACTGAATGATAACTACAGGGGCAACGTCAATATTGCTGACTCTGATGGACCTGCAGTCTTACCTCCTTTGCCTCCGAGGCACACATTTATGGTAACCAGTAGCTTAATACGGATGCTTACAGCGAGGGGCTTGTTCTCAGGGTTGCCATCGGAGGACCCACATGCTCACATAGCCAAGATAAGGGCGGTCTACAAGAGCTGTGTAGGTCGACCAGACTTGGATATGGATGTCATCGGATTGCGAGTGTTCCCTCTATCACTGACAGGTGATGCTGCTATATGGTTCACTGAGCTCCCTTATAACTCAATCTATACATATTGGAACCAACTGAGGGATGTGTTCTTAGCAAGGTATTATCCAGTGTCCAAGTAGCTCAATCATAAAGATAGGGTCAATAATTTTGTGGCATTACCTGGAGAGTCGGTGAGTAGCTCATGGGACAGATTCACTTCGTTCATAAGAGGTGTTTCGGATCACCGTATTGATGATGAGTCGCTGAAGGAATATTTCTATCGAGGTCAGGATGATAACAATACAGTAGTGCTTGCTACTATTGCTGGAGGCTCATATGGTGAGTGCACATATGCACAGATCGCAGAAAAGCTGGAGAAGATCTCACTACTAAAAAAACAGTGAATACCGACCTATAAATACCGACCTCCGGAGGTCAGTATTCCCTGAAATACCGACCTAAAATCGACATCCCAGCTTAGGTCGGAAAAAGCTTGGTCACTATTCAAATACCGACCTCTAGAGGTCGGTTTTTATTTTATGTCGAAATATTCATTATTTTAAATTCCGACCTCTGGAGGTCGGTATTTTTATTTTTGTAATGTTGAAATTCCGACCTCCGGAGGTCGGTATTTTTATTTTTGTAATTTTGAAATTCCGACCTCCGGAGGTCGGTATTTTTATTTTTGTAATTTTGAAATTCCGACCTCCGGAGGTCGCTATTTTTATTTTTGCAATGTTGAAATTCCGACCTCTGGAGGTCGGTATTTTTATTATTGTAATGTTGAAATTCCGATCTCCGAAGGTCGGTATTTTTATTTTTGTAATGTTGAAATTCTGACCTCCGGAGGTCGATATTTTTATTTTTGTAATGTTGTAATTCCGACCTTCGGAGGTCGGTATTTTTATTTTTATGTTGAAATTCCGACCTCCGGAGGTCAGTATTTTTATTTTTGTAATGTTGAAATTCCGACCTCCGGAGGTTGGTATTTTTATTTTTTATTTTTGAAATTTCGACCTCCGGAGGTCGGTTTTCTGCTGCAAAACAGGCAGCAAATTGCTGCAATTTTTAGTTGCCCACCTGCATATTTATACCAAAACAACCCAAAGCCAAATAAACTTCATCCAACCAAAACAACCCAACGCCAAATAAAATTCATCCAACCAAAACAACCCAAAGTCAAATAAACTTCATCCAACCAAAAAACACAAAATTCACTAACTAACCCACAACATTTATTTTAACTTATTTAAACAACTTAACAACTTTTTTACTTTAACTAGTTTAGTTTTGACTTAATTCCGACAACTAAATTCACTAACTAACCCACAACATTTATTTTTACTTATTTAAACAACTTAACAACTTTTTTACTTTAACTAGTTTAGTTTTGACTTAATTCCGACAATTAAATTCACTAACTAACCCACAACATTTATTTTAACTTATTTAAACAACTTAACAACTTTTTAACTTTAACTACATTAGTTTTGACTTAATTCCAACAAGTAATTCACTAACTAAACCACATTATTTATTTTAACTTATTTAAACAACATAACTTTTTAACTTTACATAGTTTAGTTTTGACTTAATTCCAACAACTAAATACACCAACTAAATCAATTTTATCATCTATAGGATCAATTAGTGTTGGTACTTATGCTTAACAAATATATTATTTCTAAATTTAAAGCTAAGTGTCAACACTAGATGGACACAAATCAATCTTGCAAGAAAATCAATTTTGTCATCAATAGGATCAACTAGTGTTGATACTTATGCTTAACAAATATATTATTTCTAAATTTAAAGCTAAGTGTCAACACTAGATGGACACAAATCGATCTTGCAAGAAAATAAATTTTGTCATCAATAGGATCAACTAGTGTTGGTACTTATGCTTAACAAATATATTATTTCTAAATTTAAAGTCAAGTGTCAACACTAGATGGACACAAATCGATCTTGCAAGAAAATCAATTTTGTCATCAATAAGTTCAACTAGTGTTGATACTTATGCTTAACAAATATATTATTTCTAAATTTAAAGCTAAGTGTTAACACTAGATGGACACAAATCGATCTTGCAAGAAAATCAATTTTGTCATCAATAGGATCAACTAGTGTTGGTACTTATGCTTAACAAATATATTATTTCTAAATCTAAAGCTAAGTGCCAACACTAGATGGACACAAATCAATCTTGCAAGAAAATCAATTTTGTCATCAATAGGATCAACTAGTGTTGGTACTTATGCTTAACAAATATATTATTTCTAAATTTAAAGCTAAGTGCCAAAACTAGATGGACACAAATCAATCTTGCAAGAAAATCAATTTTGTCATCAATAGGATCAACTAGTGTTGGTACTAATGCTTAACAAACAATCGATGGACACAAAAAAATTATCACAAAATTAAAGCTAAGTATCAATACTAGATGGACACAAACACATTATTGAAAACAATTGTACTTGAACTTTAGAAATTTAGAAGCACCAACCTTATCTCCTACTTTGATGAAAGAAGCAATATAGTCTTATATCAACTTTTTTTGATGTTGAGCTTCCTCAGTTGCCTAGCACGAAAAGTTCTAAAATTAGTTATATATAAACTTCAAATCCAAGAATATTAGTTTTTATATATATATATATATATATAAAGTTTTAATAAGTTCATGTTCAAGTTCTAATTTCAAATTCAAGTTCTAAGTTAAAGTTCAAATTCTAAGTTCAAGTTCAAGTTCTAAGTTCAAATTCAAGTTCTAATTTCAAGTTCAAGTTCAAGTTTAAGTTCTAAGTTCAAGTTCAAGTTCTAAA